TAGATTGGCATGCTTTATATTATCCCATAGGTCCCTTATATTCCCCTTCTGGAACCCCTATTATGCATAGATTGGCATGCTTTGTATTATCCCATAGGTCCCTTATATTTATATTATCCCATAGGTCATTGTTTTTTATTTTTTTTTCTCTCAGCTGTTCTGATTGGGTGCTTTCTGTTGTCCTCTCTTCTAGGTCACTTATTCGTTCCTCTGCATTATCTAGCCTGCTTTGTACAGCCTTTAGGTCAGCTCTCATCTTAGCAAATGGGTTTACTAATTCTACTTGGTTCTTCTTTATAGCTTCTATTTCATTCTTGACATATTTTATATCTCTAAACACTATCTCTTTTAGTTCCTTCAGTACTTTGATCACTCCTTTTTTGAAATCTTGATCTGGTAAGTCATCAATGTCTATTTCCTTGATCATGCTTTCAGGGGGTTTCTCTTGATCTTTTAACTGGGAGTGGTTCCTCTGCTTCTTCATATTGCTCCTATCTCTCTGGCACTGTGGCCATTGGGTGGGCGGGTCACTTCCCCTCCTGATGCCGCAATCAGATGCTGCGCTTGGGCGAGGCAGGTGGGTGGATCGCCCCCAATCCCAGCACTGTGGTCAGGTGCTGCATTCCTGCCAGGAAGGCGGGTGGCTGCCCGTTCTCCTGGCGCCAGTCGCTCTGCGGGTCTGTGCAGCTGCCTGCTCCGTCTCGGGTCGGCGCTCCATAGGTGGGCTTGGGGAAGACCATGGAACAGCCCCGCCCCGTTCTGTGCCAAATCTCAGCTCTTTGTTTGTCTTGGCGGCCGAGTTCTTGAGGTGCCAGGGCAGAAAGACGCTATCTACCTCAGGCTGTAAACAAGTCTCAGTCCTGCCTATGAGGTTGCGGAGCCCCGGGGTGCGGATCCACGTCTCGGCCCTGCCCCCGCCCAAGCACTACACACAGGACACAGCGGCTGTGGCTGCACCCCGCCTCTCTTGCGAGAAGCACCAGTAATGGCACCGAGGGTCTGAGGAAACAAAGGCTATGGCACCCCTCCCCCCAGGGCACACCAGCCTTGTTGCTTTGCTTTTTTCGCAATTTATGAGGGACCAAGGTTCTGCTCCCAGCCACGGCACACAGCCCCCTGCAGTCCCGCAGGGCTGCCTCAGTGCAGCTGCCCTAGTCCTCCACCCGGCTCAAGCGGCCTGTCCCGGCCCCAGCTGCCAGCTTGCGTCTCAGGCTGGGTTTCACAGGGACACTTTGTGCCCGTTTAACTTAGTTCTGTCGGTCAAGGGGTGCTTGGAGCAGATCTGAGCCTCGGAGGCTCCCCCTCCGTCCCCGTTGGCCTCTCCGTTGGAGGGGGGAGACCCAGCAAACGAGCGCTAGTTCTCCTTTGCCGCTCCTTCCCCGCGGGACCAGTCCCGTACTATTTTGTTTTTTCTTCTTTCTTTTTTCCCTTTCTCCTACCAGATTTTTGGCATCTTTGTCTTTCAAAGAGGGCGATGTTCTGTTGGAGTTTGGCAGGTGCTCTGGTTGGCTGAGTGGGCCCGTAGATGTGAGTTTTGGTGTATCTGTGGGAGAGGGTGAGCTACAAGCGTCCTTCTGCTCTGCCATCTTGCTTCTCTCTATAATGTAGTCTTTTACAAAATGTTTCAGGTTCTAGAGAAACTTCTGTCGATGAAGCTTCACTGCCTGCCATTGATATCAGTCAGTTCATTTCCTTAGCTTTTTAAGTATCTTAGACTTAGAAGTGAAGGCATTACCGAAAGTCGTGGCATTGGTAGTTAGGAGAGAAGTGTTTTAAGAATTCTGAGTCTGCTGGGTGAAGACAGATTCAGGAAGGCCTTCTCCCTGTTTTCAGCACTGGGAGGCTCATTGTCAGTGTCGCCACTGACCATCCAGTGCACAGCCTTATTACAGGGGTGTCTCTTCAGCTTACATGCACCTTCCTTTCCTGAGTGATCTTTGAAGTGAATGTGTTGAGGCAGACAGGTGTACTCAGATGCCAATACAGAAAAGACGGGACATACTAGAGGGAAAAGTGTTTACCATAATTTGAGGGTCAGTGTGTGTTTATTATTTTTCTAATGTGGGTGTATGAGGAGGGGGAGAGAAAGACGAAAGACTAAGTAACAGATAAGTGAAGTCAGCCAGCCTAGTGGAGAGAAGGAAGGTGGGGGGATGACACGTCCAGCTGAAGAGGGGTGGGTGCTGCCCACCGTCCTCCGGGTGCTGAAGGTGGAACTCTGGGTGGGAAATGACACAACAGACCCACTGTCCGTCCCAGCTTCATGGTGCTTCTTGCTCATGGTCCTCCTCCCAGACCCCTGCCCCCGTTCTGAATAGGTGCCACCTTGCCCACAGCTTCCATGGGACTAAATGAAGAGCAGAAAGAGTTTCAGAAGGTGGCTTTCGACTTTGCTGCCCGGGAGATGGCGCCACACATGGCAGAGTGGGACCAGAAGGTAAGAGTTTCCCGTGCCGGACGTTCGCACAGGTGCCTTGCGCGGTGACCCTGTCTTCATCTGCCTGTGGTCCGACTGTCCAGCGTGTCTCCTCCCCTTAGAGCCCTGAGTGGGAAGGTGGGTTCTGGGAATGGCGTGCTTCCTCTTCTAGATGGCACCCCTCTCATCCTGTAGATACCGTTTGTTTGTTTTTAGTTATACAGAGATTTGGACATTCTAAAACCAAGGCAATTCTGTTGGTGATAAAAAGAAACCCTAATGCCAGAAGGTCAGTCCCTACAGGGTGCGCTGTGACTGACACCACTGTGCAGACGACCAGAGAGACACTGAGTTCAGAGAACCCGCACCCTCCCCCAAGGCAGACGTCTTAACCCCTCCTCGTGCCCTCCACAGAGACGTCTGCCTCTGGGTCACTTACCGATGACCCCGCTGTCTTTGTACGTAGGAGCTGTTCCCAGTGGACATGATGCGGAAGGCAGCCCAGCTGGGCTTTGGGGGGGTCTACACGCGCACAGATGTAGGAGGGTCTGGACTGTCACGCCTCGATGCCTCTGTCATCTTTGAGGCCTTGGCCACCGGCTGCACCAGCACCACTGCCTACATAAGCATCCACAAGTGAGTGACCAAGCCCGGGAAGCACCGGGAAATGCTCGTGTGGGTTGGCGGAGGAATTTTATACAAACAGGGAAAAGATTTCTCTTTTCAGGTTGGCTGTCCTTGAAGAACTAGACTGTTAAAAGCTCACACTAAGTCTGCTGCTGCCTGTTGGACTTGAATCTGTCATTTCATATGTAGAGAATGCTGGCCTTCTCCCAAATTCCAGGTTGACCTGGAGCCAAACAGACTTTTCCGGTAGAGTGGTCAGGGCCTGTCCCCCTCTTCCTCAGCCCAGCAATGGAACCTGCAGTAAAATGAGAAAGTACATATGCCTGGTTGGCTTTTGGGGAGCTCAGTTTACCTAACTAGAGGCAGCACGAACAGCATCCAGATGAGAAGAGCTTGGCCCTGGGTGGCTCTGGGGAGCACGTGTCCCAGGAACATGTGTCAATCCAGGCCTCTGCTCTAAAGATGGACACTCCCACTCTCTCTTCTGCGTCACTCTACTTGGCTGCCTGTGCTCTTTCCACGTCACCTCCCCTCACGTTCCCTTGTCTCTTCTGTCTTTGTTGATGTCTTTTCTTGGTGTCCCTGTCAGCATGTGTGCCTGGATGATTGATGCCTTTGGAAGTGAGGAGCAGAGGCACAGATTCTGCCCCCCACTCTGTGCCATGGAGAAGTTTGCTTCCTACTGCCTCACCGAACCAGGTGGGTTTGCCTGCAGTGAGCAAGGTGCAGCGGGAGGTGCCCCTCATGGGAGCTCAGCGAGCGTGCCGTCTCAGTAGGGCCCTTGGGAAGCATGTTTACCTACTGCTGACTGAGAAGCTGGGGCTTGAGCACCTCATTCCCGTGACCTGGTGTCATGAGACTAAGAGGTCTCTGGGGCAGAGACTTCCCAGGCTGCAGACCAGATTCCCCTTGTGGGAGGCTGCCTGCAAGCTAGTGTGATGGGGCGGAATCCATGCGCAGTTTTCACCAAGGAGAGACAGGTCATTCTGGCATCTGGACTTCTAAGTGTCAGACTCTGAGGTGTTTGCTGTAGGGAAGGTCCTTATGGGGTGGAGCCTTGCGGGGCTCCCTTAGCTTCCCTGGTGTCCCCCCCCACCTCTGCCTCCTTTGCTCCCTACCTTAGGGAGCGGGAGTGATGCCGCCTCCCTCTTGACCTCGGCCAAGCGACAAGGAGATCATTACGTCCTCAATGGCACCAAGGTATGAGCATGCCGTCCCCTGCCCTCCCAGAGCAGCTCGGAGGCTGTCCCCCGTCCTGCCGCCATGGCCTAGACCCTGTGTCTGCGAGCGAACGTTCCCAAAGGGCTTTGCATGCTGGAGAAGGAACCTCAGACCTGCTTCCCTGTGTTGGCCTTCCCTGGTTCTCTTCTGACCGGAGTCCAGTTAGTTTCATTCCTTCTGTCCTTGTCGTGTCTCCTCGGCTCGGCCCTGCCCCCACCAGTGCAGGCTCCTGTCGGCCGTCCTTAGTTTCTCACGGTTGTTAGGGGCCTGGTGGTTTTCCCCTCTCCACCCCCCAGGCCTTCATCAGTGGTGGAGGCGAAGCGGACACCTACGTGGTCATGTGCCGAACAGGAGGGCCAGGCCCCAAAGGCATCTCCTGCGTGGTTGTTGAGAAGGGGGCCCCTGGCCTCAGCTTCGGCAAGAAGGAGAAGAAGGTGAGCGCTCTGGACGGGGCTGGGAGTCTCTTCCTTCTGCCAGACCAGCCTCTGCTCAATTTCGGGAAATGGGTTCCATGCTGGCCACCTGCCTTCGAGGCTGTTGCTTCAGTTAGGGTTTCGACAGCAGCATATGAAATGGAGTATGGTGTCACTACAGAACAGTGGGCCTTTGGCAAAGCGGCAGGGCTGGGGGGTAGGGCGGGGTGCAGCGTGACGGAGGGGAGCTGCCCTGGGCAAGGTGGACTCTGAGGTCGTGACATTCAGGATGCACTGCAGTGTTGGAGGCATGAGGGGCCTGACGTGGGGGCGGGATCAGACCGTTGGAAGAAGCCCCACCTCAGCGTGGCTGATGGTCGTGCAGAGAGAGCGGTAGGGGGTGAGCCAGAGAAGGGGGTGGGCCTTGCAGGTGCACGGCCACGTGGTGTGGCTGAGAGCTCGATGCCCCCAGTTGAGCAGCGACTTCAGGGAGTGTGGGGGGAGCCACTCTGTCTAGGATCTCACTGGTAAAGGTTCTGGGAGGAGAGTGAGTCTTTCTCAAGGGTGGATGCCAGACTCTTGGCGGCAGTGAAGATGATTGGGGTACAGAAGACGGTCGGGGCTCCTGGTCAGGGTTGTGGTGCGGGGCTTCGGGAGGGAGGGGGTGTCAGTTCTCTGGGGCACAGCTTCCCAGGGCCCCTCCCTGCCCAGGTGAGGAGGGGGTTCACAGGCGGGTGAGGGGGCAGCAGCCCCTGTAGGTCTGCACTTGCTGTTCCGTTCAGACGTGTGAGTTCCAGTTGGGGGACAAATTCAGGGGGCACCAGACAGGCCAGGCCTGGGAGGGTTCAGGCTGTGATGGGGATCCTGGGAGCCTAGAGGGCAGCAGGGCCACATCAGCTTGGGTGACTGGAATGACCTCAGGAGGCTTTACTGAAGCTGGGCTTTGACAGGGCCAGGCTAGGGGTGTCCTGGGGAGGGAACAGCAGCAGTGGGAGTTCAGGTTTAAAAACCCACCACACAATCCACAGCCCCATCTGAGTAGAGCGGAGGGTCTAGGGTGACTGACTGGGAGAGGGGGGAAGGGTGGCCAGTGTGGGGAGACCTGACTCGAGGCTGTGGAGGTGAGTGCCTCTCCCCCCTTGGGGAGCCATTGACGGTTCTCCGTCAGGATGTGAGGGTGACAAAGGGTGTCCGGAGCTGTCGGGACGGGTCCTGTGCTTTCCAGAACCTGCCCCATCAACCTCAGACTTGCCTGGAGCCTCGGGGCTCCCGGAGGAGGCGATGCAGGGCCATCACTGACTTGAGTGTGAAACATCCGGGTAAGACTTGGTCTGGAGAAGGAGGCTGTGCTGGCTTTCTGGTGCAGCCCCTCACTCGAGGGAGCACAGCCACTGAGAAGCCCGATGACCTGTCAGGGACAAAGAGTCGGGTGGCAAGTTCCGTGGCCTGGGCTGCGTCTTAGGTATGTGCCGGTGACTGATTTAGGGACATCCTCGTGTGCAGCCTGGGCCGCTCTCTGGTGTCTGTTCTCCCCCCGGGGCTGATCCCAGGCCACGGGGTGACATCCCTGAAAGCCACGCCGGGAACCACGTGTGTCCTTGGCTCCTGTGAGCTGGTGCCACGCACCATGGGGGTCGGTGCTGAGGGCCTCGTGTAAACAGCAGCGTCTTAGGAGGACACACGTGGCTGCCATTAGTGATTGTCCTCATGCTGTCCTTGTAGAAGGGCGAGCACTGCTAGTAATCCTTACATGATCAGTTTTATATAGAAGGGTCTCATAGAAGCACTAAACATAAGGACAGTCCTGCCCCAGTCCTGAAGGACACTGTGAGAAATGTCTGGGGATAGGCTAGTCTGGTAGAGGACGAGACGTTAGGAGGTAGATGCCCTTAATATGTTTAAAAATGTTTAGCTGAAAAAAAAAAAACTGTCCGAGTTGACAGATAACTTAAGTGTGACCTTGTATCTTTCCTCAGTTTAAGTTCTCAAGGGTCTGAGTCCAGGGCAGCAGAACCTGCATATCTCCGGCCCTCCCAGCAGAGGGCGCTGCCCTGGGTGCGGAACTGTCCACAGCCACAGCCCTGATTTTCCAGATGGGGTGGAACTCCCAGCCAACCCGAGCGGTGATCTTTGAAGACTGTGCTGTCCCTGTGGCCAACAGAATTGGGGCCGAGGGCCAGGGATTCCTCATCGCCATGCAAGGACTGAATGGAGGAAGGGTCAACATTGGTGAGGGCCCCAGGGACCCGGGGGGTGGGCAGGTCTGGCGGCACCGGCCTCGGACTCCTCCTGACACTTCGATGTCTTCCTTCCTAGCGTCCTGCTCCCTCGGCGCCGCTCACGCCTCGGTCATCCTTGCTCGAGACCACCTTAAGATCCGGAAGCAGTTTGGAGTGCCTCTGGCCAATAACCAGGTGACGTCCCAGGGCTCCCGCATTTGCTGCCATCTCTAGAACGTTCTCCAGACAGGGAGGCCCTCATGTCTCTTGTGGGTTCTGCCCTCATCTTGGCCAGAAATTGTGCTCCATTTCTGTCAACAACTTTTTGAATAATTTTTATTTATAGTCATGGAAAGATTTGTGATGTATTACCTGGCAAAAAAAAGTGTGACATTTTGGAAGAGTGCAGTTTCCTTTTTGTTTTTTTTAAACAAAATATATTATGTATAAATATTAATGCAACATTCTCAGAGATGTCTTTGAAATTGCAAAAAGTAATTATTTCAAGGGGGTGGGATTAGAATGATTTCCCTATTTTATTTTGCTTATTTGTGTTCCAATTTTTTTTTCTTTATTGAAGTAACTCTGGTTTATAACATTATATAATTGTGTGTACAGCGTTGTAATTTGACTTCTGGATACACTACAAGGAGCTTACCATCAAAAGTCTGATTTCCATCCGTCACCGTGCAGTTGACCCCCTTCACCAATTTTACCCTCCTCCCAGCCCCTTTCCTCTCTGGTAACCACCAGTCTGTTCTCTATGTTTATGTGTTTTTGTTTCATTTTGTGTGTTGATTTATTTTGCGTTTTTCAGATTCTACATACAAGTGAAATCATATGGTATTTGTCTTTCTCCGTCTTACTTCGCTTAGCATAATACCCTCTAGGTCCACCCATGTTGTCACAAATGGCAAGATTTCATTCTTTTTATGGCTGAGTAATATTCCATTGTATAAATACACCACAGCTTCTTTGTCCAGTCATCTGTTGGTGGGCACCCATGTTGTTTCCATATCTTGGCTATTGTAAATAACACTGCAATGAACATAGGGGTGCATGTGTCTTTTTGAATTAATGTTTTCATATTATTTGGGAAAATACCCAGAAGTGGAACAGCTGGATCTTACAGTAGTTCTATTCTTAAATTTTTGAGGAATCTCCATACTGTTTTCCATGGTGGCTGCCCCAATTTACATTCCCGCTAACAGTGTACGGGGGCTCCCTTTTGTCCATGTCTTTGCCAGCACTTCTTGTTTCTTTTTGATTATAGCCATTCTTATGGGAGTGAGGTGACAGCTCATTGTGGTTTTGATTTGTATTTCCCTAATAATTAATGATGTTGAGCATCTTTTCGTATGTCTGTCGGCCATTTGTGTGACTTCTTTGGGAAGTGTCTGTTCAGCTTCTCTGCCCATTTTTTCATCAGATTACTTTGGTGTTTTGCTGTTGAGTTGCTCATGTTCTTTGTATTTTGGGTGTTATGCCTTATTAGATAAGGGATCTGCAAGTATCTTCTCCTATTCAGTAGGTTGTCTTTTCATTTTGTTGATAGATTTCTTTGCTGTGCAGAAGCTTTTTAGTTTGATATAATCCCACTTGTTTATTTTTGCTTCTGTTTCCCTTGCTGAGAAGACAGATTTTAAAAAATAAATTGCCAAGACTAATATCAGAGGGCATAGTGTCTATGTATTCTTTTAGAAGTTTTATACTTTCAGGTCTTACATTCAGTTTTTAATCCATTTTGAGTTAATTTTTCTGTATGGTATAAGGTAGGGGTCCAGTTTCATTCTTTGATGTGGCTGTCCAGGTGTGCCAAACCGTTTATTGAAGTAACTGTTCTTTTTCCATTGTATGTTCTTGGCCCCTTTGTCATAAATTAGTTGTCCATATATGTGTGGGTTTTTTTCTTGGGCTCTCAGTTCTGTTCCATTGATCTGAGTCTGTTTTTCTTCAAATACCATGCTGTTTTGATTACTGTGACTTTATAAGTACAATTTGAAATTAGGGCATATGATATCTCCAGTTTTGTTATTTTTTTTCTCAGGATTACTATGGCTGTTCAGGATCTTTTGTGGTTCCATACAAATTGTAGGATTTTGGGGGGTTCTGTTTCTTTGAAAAATGTTGGGATTTTGATAGGGATTGCAGATAATCTGTAGGTTACTGTAGGTAATTTGAACACTTTAACAATGTTAATTCTTCTGGTCCATGGGCACAGGATGTCTTTCCATTTTTTGTGTGTCTTCAGTTTCTTTCAACAGTGTCTTAGTTTTCAGGGTACAGGTCTTTCACGTTCTTGGTTAAATTTTTTCTTAGGTATTTTATTCATCTTGTTGTAAATGGTATTGTTTTCTTAATTTGTCTTTCTGCTGGTTCATTGTAGTGTGAGAAGTGCACACAGACTTTTGTATTTTGATTTTGTGCCCTGAATCTTTACCATATTTGTTTACTATTTCTAATAGTTTTTTGGTGGAGTCTTTAGGATGTTTTGCATATAAACTCATGTCATCCACAAATAGTGACAGCTCTACTTCTTCCTTAAGATGCCCTTTATTTCTTGTTCTTGCCTAACTCCTCTGGCTAGGACTTCGAGTACTGTGCCGAATAGGAGTGTCGAGAGTGAGCGTCCTTGTCCTGTTCCTGATTTTGGAGGGATAGCTCTCAGGTTTTCACTGTTGAGTGTGCTGTTAGCTGTGGTTTTGTCATTTATGGCCTTTCTTGCGTTAAGGTTCCTTATCTATCTGTTTTATTGAGAGGTTTTGTTTGTTTTTTTTTAATCATAAATGGATGTTGAATCTTGTCAAATGCTCTTTGTGCATCTATTGAGATGACCATGATTTTTAGCCTTCATTTTTCTAATGTGGCATATCATGTTGGTGCTGTGCAGATGTTGAACCATCCTTGCATCCCTGGAATAAACCCCCCATGGTCATGGTGTGTGATCCTTACCATTTTGTAGAGGTTTTTGCATCTGTGTTCATCAGAGACATTGGACTGTAGTTTTGCTTTTTGCATTGTTCTTGACTGGTGTCGGGGTCGGGGTCATGTTTGCCTTGGAAAACGAGTTAGGAATCTTTCTCTGCTTCAGTTTCTTGGAAGAATTTGAGGATTAGCTTTAGGTTTTGTTTGAATGTTTGGTAGAATTCACCAGCGAAGCCATCTGGTCCTGGGCTTTTGTTTTCTGGGAAGGTTTTTGACGGCTGTTTCAATCTCCTTACTGGTGATCAGTCTGTTTAGGTTTTCCACTTTGTGACTCAGTCTCGGAAAGTTGTATGAGTCAAAGAATCATGGATTTCTGTTTCTTTCCAATTGTCCAGTTTGTTGGTGTACAGCTATTCCTTGTAGTTTCTTACAATCTTCGCATTTTTGTGGTTCCAGTTGTAACTTCTTCATTTCTGATTTTATATATTTGAAACTTGTCTCTTTTTTTCTTAGTCTAGCAGAAGTTCTGTCAGTTTTGTGTCTCTTTTCAAAGAATCAGCTGTTTATCATTGATCTTTCCATTGTCTTTTTTAATCTGTATTTCATTTATTTCTGCTCTGATTTTTATTGTTTTCTTCCTTTTACTGACTTTGAGCTTCATTTGTTCTCTTTTTCTAGTTCCTTTAGGTATAAAACTAGAGTGTTTGAGTCTTATCTTGTTTTTTGAGGTGGGCCTGTACTCTGTAGAATTCCTTCTTTGTACCCTCTTGCTGCGTCCCATAAATCTGGGTCTGTTGCATTTTCATTTGTCTAAAGGTAGTTTTCGATTCTCCTTTATTTGTTGACCCAGGAGTTGCTCAGTAGTACGTTTGTGATTTTTCCTGCTTCCCTCTTGTAATTGATTTCTACTTTCAGAAAAGATGCTTAATAATGATTTCCATCTTCTTAAATTTACTGAGACTTAGTTTGTGTCCCAGTATATGGTCTGTCTGTGAGAAAGTTCCATGTGCACTTGGAGAAGAATGTGTATTCTGCTGCTCTTGGGTGGGATGTCCTCTGTGTCTGTGTTAAGTCATCGGGTGTAGTGCTTCTTTCAAGGCCAGTGTTTACTAGTTGACTCTGTCTCGAGGAGCTGTCCGTGATGTGAGTGGGTGTTAAAGTCCCCCACTGTTACTGTGTTGCTGTCAGTTTCTCCCCATAGGTCTGTTAAGAGTTGTTTTTATGTGTTGATGCCCCATGTTAGGTGCTTCTATGTTACTAACTGTTGTGTCTTCTTGGTGAATTGTCCCCTTTATCATTAGAGACTGCCATCCTTGCCTCTTGTTACCTTTTCTGGCTTGAAGTCTCTTTTGTCTGATATGAATGTGGCTGCCCCTCCTTTCTTTTGGCTGCCATTTGCTTGGGAAATCAAATTCCCTGCCTTCGCTTTGAGTCCATGTTTGTCTGTAGAGCTGGGATGAGTGCCCTGGAGCTTTTTTTGTTTTGTTTTTCAGTCCATCTGCCACTCTGTCTTTTGAGCAGTGAATTCAGTCCATTTACATGTGGGGCAATGACTGGTAGATGAGGTGGTGGTGCTACCGTTTCATCTTTTGGTTTTTGGTTGCTCCCTGTCTCCATTGTTTCTTTTTCCTGGTGTTTCTGTCTGCCTTTTTTGGTTTAGTGGTTTCCTCTGATTTTTTTTCAGTTTCCTCTTTATTAGTTTCATGTTTGTATTCTAGGTTTCTGTTTTGTGAGTACCATGAAATCTGTATCAGATGTCTTGTAGACAAAGTGGTCCTTTTTCTGCTGATAGCATCTTCTTTTGCCTGTGCAGGCCCACTCTCCTCTTTCTTATGGCTTGCCTCAAATTACCCTCTTCATGTGCATTTGTTACCAAATTGGCAAGGCTTTTTATCCTGCAGCGCTCTGATTTTGTCTATCACCTTACTCAGAGTTTGGTACTTCTGCCCTTTTGTTTCATGTAGGAGAGCTCCTTTCCACATTTCCATGTTCCACGTTCCACATTCCACACAGATCTAGTGGTGCTGAACTCCTAAGATTTTGTTTGTCTGGGAAAGCCTTTATCTCCCCTTCATGTCTGAAGGGTGACTTTGTTGTTTATCTTTGAATATTTTGTGTCTGTCGTTCTCCTGTCTCCTGGTCTGTAGATTTTCTCCTGAGAAGTCTGTTTGTCACCTCAACGAGTTGTTCCTGGCTGCCTTTAAAATTTTTTCTTTGTCATTGACTTTGGACAGTTTTAACATCACGTGTCTTGGAGAAGATCTCTTTGTGTCAAGATAGTTAGGTGTGCCCTTAGCTTCGTGGGCTTGTCTGTGCAGCCCCTTCCCCAGGTCCGGGACGTTCTCAGCTGTTGTTTCTTTCAGTGAGCTCTCTGCTCCCTCCCCCTCCCTCCTGGGAGACCCGCCATTGTACGTCGCTCTTCCTGATGGACTGGGGTGGCGCTCGTAGGGTTTCGTGTTCTTATACCTTGGCTCTCTCTCCGCTTCTCCCTGAGTCATGTCTAGATTCTGTCTCTGAGCTCACCGACTCTCTTCTGCACGGCCTGCTCTCCTCGCCATGCTTTCCATCACGTTCTCCACCTCACTTGTGGAGTTCCCCAGCTCCAGAATTTTGGTTTGGTTCTTTTTTAGCATTTCAGTCTCTGATAAAGTCTTCCTTCTGTTCATTAGTTTTATTCCTGAGCTCACTGACCTGCCTTTCAGAGTTTTCTTGTAGCTCGTTGAGTTTCTTCATGATGGCGATTTTGGATTCTCCGTCCATTTGCTCCCAGTGTCCCGTGACTTAAATTTGGTTTCTGGAAAACTGTCATCTGCCTCTTATGACACTGAGTGTCACGGTGTTTCTTCTGGTGCTTGACAGAGTTGTTCCTCTGCCAGTGCATTTGAGTAGCCAAGACCTTCCTTCGTTCCTCTGCCGAAGCTTTTTTACTTGATTCTAACAATTCAGCAGGTTAGAGGCCTTCCTCTTGGGTTCGAGTAGGTGGCGCGGCTGCCCCAGTTTCTGGTCTCCCTCACCTGCGCTGTATGGGGTGGGGGACACTCCACATGGCCCTGCCTCAGGGCTTGTCACTGCTCCAGCCTACAGGCTTGTAGCTGTCATTGGTGTCACCTGGCACCACCACGGCAGCGGGGCAGGGTGGGGATGGAGCCGGGGTCACTTAGAGCAGGTACCTGCGTAGCATCCGGGGCCAGGCGAGGTGCTGGTCTGTCTGGTCTGACGCCACACCGCTACCCCCTCCACTGCTGCAGTACCTGCAGTTCAAGCTGGCCAACATGGCAACCAGGCTGGTGGCCTCACGGATGATGATCCGCAGTGCAGCGGTAGCTCTGCAGGAGGAGCGGGAGGACGCGGTGGCCCTGTGCTCCATGGCCAAGCTCTTTGCGACCGATGAATGCTTCACTGTAAGTGCCTGTGGGCTCAGGCTCTCCTGGATGGCCAGGGAGGCGGAGAGCCACATGTTGGCTCCTGGGAGCTCAGTTCTCACGGGAGGCCTTGTGGGAGCTCTCAGGTTGGCTCCCCACCTGCTCCCTGTCATCGCACGTCCAGTTGTCTGTGTACTCCGTGAGACGCCACCTCGGGAGAGGGCTCAGAACAGCCCCGTGCGTCTTGCTCGAACACAGACTCTGCTGTGTGTGCCGTGTACAGAGCCAAGCTGTTTCTGCATCGAGGCGGCATTTGCTTCTTGGTGGACTCCCAGCTGGATGGCTGTGGCAGCCCCCAACAGACAGCAGGCGGAGAGGGCTGAGGTCTCTGAGTCCCTGTCCGGCGGGCTCCGGGCCCAGAAAGGGGGCATCCCTGGTCCGGAGCCCTTCGGGGCTAAGGTTCTCCCTGCAGGGGCCTCCTCGCGTTGGTTTGCAGCAGCTGCCCGGGTGGGGGCTGTGTGGGGAGGATCCCTCCTGGAGGTGAGGGGGGTGAGGCTGACTCACTCCCGTCTCCCTGCAGATCTGCAACCAGGCACTGCAGATGCACGGGGGCTACGGCTACCTGAAGGACTACGTGGTTCAACAGTACGTGAGGGACACCAGGGTTCATCAGATCCTCGAAGGTAAAGGCAGCGAGGCGGTTCCTGGCCTTCCACCCCAGCCGTCCCTCCCCAGCTGACTGGGCTCCGTCTGTCTGCCTCCCTCTTTCCTCCTGGGCCGGCCTGGGGTCAGGACGCCCTGCCCTGTCGCCGCGGGCTGGTCACTGGAGACCCCACTGCTGCTCGCTGCCTCATTTCTGGAGGCTCAGGCTGAGAAGCATTTTGGAAACTGCAGCAAGGACTGCTCTTCACTGTTATGAAATGCTAGGCCCTCGGGGCCCCAGAACCTCTGTACAGTAATCTGAAGGGCAGACGCGAGCCCGGGTGATCTCCTGCAGCCCTGCAGGTTGGCCGTCAGCATTGCCGATGGGTCTTTCAGTAAATACACTGCAACACGGCCATCTTCCTGGTCCTCGCGGACACTCAGGCGGGAGGCGTGTGAGCTGCAGGAGTCAGGCTCCGCGTGCCTTCTCCCCGCCGTGCCGGTTTTCGGGTCTTGAAGTCATGTGACTGTTGTTCCTGCTAGTAGGGAGCTGGGGTCGAGACACTGCAGCAGAAGCAGGTGGGGCCGAGGTTGTGGAACCAGCTTTCAGTGAAGGCAGGTAGGGGGCGTCAGAGACACCCGAGCCTCCGCCTACCTGCCACTTCCCAGGCATCCACCCAAACCTGGGCTCTCGTCAGAGCCCTGGGAAGGCTGGTGAGCGTGGGCTGTGGGCCTGACCCCCGGCGTCTGCCTCCACGGGCGGTGGGGCCTGGGAATCTGCAGCTCTGACGAGTGTTCGCTGAGGCTGCTGCGGCCTGCGTGGGGCCACACTCAGACCCACCCCCCGTGTCACAGCCAGAGTGCAGACTTCTCAGAGCCGGCGTCTGCCCTCTGCCACAGACCTTGCCCTCGCGGGCGCTGACTGTGCTTCCTTCCATTACTGCAGTAGTAGTAACCCTCTCACCCCGCGCCGGTGAGCGCAGGGACCCTCACTTCCTTCTCACTCTGTCTCTCAGCCCTGTTGGAGTAAACGGCCCCACCGTCACCCGCTTGTAGAAGACTAGGGGCGCTCGTCTTTGTCGCTTGTTCACTGGGGACTTTGCTACGGGATAAATGGGAAATTTCAGATCTGATTATTAGAGTCGCGGGAGGCTGCTGTACAGATGAACTGGGCAGCTGACCACCTCCTGTCAGGGAAAATGTTTTAAAATCCAATTTTCTGATTACCAAAGATGTTGGTGTATTTATTGTTGAAAACGTATAAACATAGGAAAACTTAGAAAAGAAAAAGACCATTCATGTTTGACATGAATTAATATTTTGGGCTTCTTTTATATGTAAGTCCAAAAATATCTTCTTTGGGACTTTTTCTGTGGTTTTGTAGATACATTTTAAAAAAAATAGAATTAAATTTCGAGTACTATTACATGTGCTGCATTTTATTTTTGGTTTGGGGTTTGTTTTCTAACCTAATATAAGCATTTTTACCATCAGGGGAGGTTTTTCAGAAGTAAATTTCCCTCCCTCCCTGGCCTTGATGTATTCTGGAGGGTCTGGTAACAACGACACTATCCTTCCCCCGGTGGGCCGCCCGCCTCTGGGCCTGGCCGCTGCTGAGCCCTGCATCACCACTCCCCTCTCCCCCCCGCCCACAGGCAGCAACGAGGTGATGTGCATGCTGGTCTCCAGGAGCCTCCTGCAGGAGTAGCCCGGCCCGCCCCATGCGCGAGCCATGCCGAGCTCACCCTGGACTCGCTCCAGGGCCCAGCCTTCCTGGGGGACCTTTGGAGCATCCACTGCAGGACCAGAAGAGCCGCCCCAATCGGGCCGATGCAGGAAGACCGCTGCCTTGCTCTGGTGCAGAGGGCAACCGCTGGGCACTGACCCCAGACCACTGCCCTTCCTGACCCACACGGTCTTGACTGGTCTGCAGTTTGCCTGCTCACCAGATCCTCTCCTGGGGACGTGAGTGCTTTGGTGGAGGGTTTTCCGGATTGTAAAGCAGAGAGAAACGGTGAGAAAACGTCATCTCTTTCTGTCCCTTGTGCCTCGGCTTAGGACACAGAAGGTTCCTGTGGGTTGCACCGCCTTGGCAGCAGCCCCTCTGAGAGTAAATCGTGATAAAATGAGTGTCTGGGAGCTCTTCTCTGAAGCTGTGTATGATTCAGGGTGTGTCTGCACCGTGGCCACCCGAATACCAAGGGCTGAGATCGTTTGGAGTTTAGATGCGTGCTGTTTCATGAGCATGTGGTCTAGGAGTGATGCTCAGAGTGTCTGCTACCTCCCCTGATAAGTGTTTTGAGGATGCTTTTTTCTATCTGAGCTTTGTTTTTCTTTCTTGCTTCTCTTTTTAAGTGTTTTAATCACTACATTGATAAATAAAGGATATCCCTCTCTACCTTCTCCAGGTCTATTAAATTTTTTTTATCTTCCTAAGCCTTCACAACATTTTTTAAAATTTAATTTAACATTTAACTCAATTTTAGAACAATAAATAAAAATCTCTCCTTGATTAAGTTGGTTTTTAAAAAATAGGCCCCTAAAATTACTAATAGTTTTGTGAGCTAAGTGCTGTTTATGGTTCATGAAAGTAGACTTAAAGTAACAAAGATGGGGACTTTGGAGACCCTGTTGGAGGTGATCCTTACATTATCCAACCCCGTCATCTCTACAAGAAAAAATCTAAGGTATTTTGTTACACATCAGTGTTTGCAAGAGACCAATATGTGCACCGTCAGCTACTGTGAAGGAAAAGCCAGGCTGGGCCTACTCGTAAATCTAAGTTAGTAAGTGTCGGTTTGCTGATTCCCTGCTCGTTTTTTTGCTAGCCAGCTGGATTTTCAGAGAGACATATCTGGCCTTGGAATGTCAGTCTGCTGCCTCCCTGCCTCTGCTTTTGTGATAATGGTGCTGCTACAGCTATTCCGTGCCTATTGGTCAAATACCCCAAGCTTGTAATTAACCCTATAAAACCTCATGCACATGTCTTGGAGGTGCTCAGAGCTTTGGAGCAAAAGTCCCTGTTGAGCCCACTGGCGTAATAAATCTGAGTACTCCAACCCTCTGAGTGGCGCTTGTTCTTGGCTGGCCTGTCACTTCCGTAGCACTACAACAGACATTTTCTGTTTCTAATGCACAGTCGCAGGCCCGGTGCTGGGTCCTGCAGGGGACCAGGGTGTGAGTACTTCACAAAGCAAGTTTCTGCCATCAGAAGCCTTACTCCACAGCCATGGTGCAAGACAAGGGTGGGTCTGCGGAAAAGGCTTGTTTGGCACAAGTGGTCAAGTGGAAGGGACTCGAGCAGAAGGTGGGAATTCAGATCAAGCTTTCATTTAAAGGGAACCAAGAGGGTTCAAGCTTCAAGCTGGGAAAGAGCCAGGAGCAGGAGGAGTGCAGGGTGGGGCTCACTGCTGTTGGCCAGACGGAACAAATGTGTAGGCTGAATCTGGAAGCAGAGTGCGAAAGCCGAGTTGTGGGTCTTACCATGCAAGCAGTGAGTTTGTCCCCACGGAGGGTTTACGGGGGAGATGTGAAACCAGTCCCCTCAGTTCCTGAATGCACATGGTGAATGTGAGCGGGGAGATGGGCGAGCCGCAATGGGCGGTGGGGTCTTCGAGCAGTCGGGGTGACGTGCTGGACCCTGAAGCTGGAGGGCAAGAGTGGGTGGTGTGGGCTCCTGGCTCCGGCCTGGGGCGAAGGCAGGGTTCTGGTGGGTCCTTGACGTCTGTGGACAGCGGGTCTAGACCTGTGGTTGTTCAGAAGCGGTCAGCTTCCCTGCGGCCTGGAGTTGGCCCCGGGGCTGCACCCGGTGAGCCTGGGGCAGGCCTCTAACACGTGTCACCCAGCTGCCCCGTGAGTGAAGCGGCAGAAGCAGGGCAGGCGCCCCGCTGGCCGCAGCACACACCCCTAAGCCCACCTGTGGCCTGGCCCGGACGCACCCCGGGGGCTGGGAAGCCCACTTCAGGATGCAGTGGCGGGGAGTCCCGGCCAAAGGGGTCTCAAGATGGTGACCTGGTGGCTTCAGTCCCAGCCGCGCCGCCCGGGGTCTGAGTGCTTCCACGTGTCTCCACACTCCCTCCATTCTAAAGCTGTGACAGCGCAGGGGAGTCTGACTGCTCTGACTGTGTGTTTAGCAGAAGGGTGTTTTGGTCACCTGTTAAAGTTTCCTCTGCCCCTTACAGATCTGATACATTGGAAATACCTTATGTATGTTTTTGCCTTAGCATGTCTCTGTGGTTACAGTTTTATCTTAAAAACAGGACTTCTCCAAAGCACCTTCCTGCAGACTGTCTCGTCTGTCTCCTGACTTTCACACAGGGTCCCTGCAAGGACAGACGCCCGAGAGATGTGTGCTGTGTTAAACTGATCTGAATTGAGTTGAGCCACAGCCCTGCTGAAAATCGGTGCTGCTGTTGGGGGGGCCTGGGCCCTGGAGCCAGACTCCTCTGGGCCGTTTTGTTGCCAGCTTTGCCACTGCCTGTGGCGTCAAGCAAAACCACTCCAACGCGCTGTCTGTTCCTCGTGTAAACTGGAGATAATAAAGCTTCCTTGCCCAGGATAGTTGGTGAATCAAGTAAAGGAACCCACGTGGCAGGCTGGAACAGTCCTTTAAGCAACCCCAGGTATGTCTTATCAACCTCATTGTGCAGGTGAGCAGAGTGAACTGTAGGGAGATTGTCGTGCTCAAACCGACACGGGTGACGGCACATCCTTTTGAGGACCTTTCAAATAGTCACAACTAGTAGGCAGGCAAGGCTGATCACAGACATTCCTAGTCTGCCTCTTCCTGGCAGGCGGCAGGATTGCATCTTCCTTTTGCCGGCACCACAGAAACATGGAAGCCCATGAACACACCACTGAGGTCTCCCCAGGACCTTAGAAGGGCCCAGAAGCATCAGCTGCATCAGCTCCACAGTACGTTCCCTGGGCCCTCCTCTGCTTTATCTGGACACTTCCATGTATATTCTTCTCGCCCGAACCGTGTTGTCTCTTTGGCACTTGGGAAGGCCTGCTATTCCCCGCAATCATGATAGGCCAGACACCCCATGAACGAATGCTCTTTGTGTCAATGGGGCGAGGGTTGACTGGTGCAGGGGTGTGGTGGAGTGTGTTCCCCCTCTTTAGTTCCCAGTGAGAACCTCCCACTGGGAGGAAGGGGAGAGGGGCCCGTGAGACCCAGTGGACGTCTTCCAGCTGAAAACCTGATCCCAGAAGTGTGATGACCTGTGGCAGGCAGTGGATGGGCGGGGAGGACGGGAACAGGGGGACTTAGAGCGGAGGCAAGGTCATGTGCGCCCGACCTTGCTTACTTGTGGACTGAGTGCTGCTTATAAGCAGTGGCCCTTCCGTTGCCCTGTGCTTGTCTCTCTTCACCCGGCGCCAGGGGCCAAAGCCCGAGACCCTGATCTGGTGGGGTCCTGGCCCCACAAACAGGGTCTTAGCCCTTCCTGGTGAAGGATCTTAATCCCTGCAGGACCGAAGGAGGGGCGCCCGTTCTCTCCCCACAGGCGGAGGAGCAGGGGCCCTCCCAGCCCCCGTGCTCTGGATCCGTGCACTGGCGAAGGTGAGGTCTCCAGCCTTGGGAAAGGGCCGTACAATCTGCGTGAACGATACCCAGGACCATGAACGGTAACCCAGGATGGGATTACCATCCTCACCCCTCACCCATGCACACTAATTTGGCCCTTCTGGAAATGTCAGTGTTTCCCACTTTGTCTATAAATCCTGTGGGTTTGTTGGGCCATAAGTTCTTTCACAGGCTTTAAGGTTGTCAGAGTCAGACATATATCTGATCCATCTCTTTACCCTTAGTGTCTTCCTGGCACGTAGGAGGAGCTCAGTGCCTGCTGAACAGAGAAAGCCGCTGTCACCAAGGAGACGCTCACTGTGGCCACAGGCCAGTGCCTTGCAGGAATAGGCATGGTACAGTTCCAGCCTCCAGCGCGTTGCAATGTAACGCAGTGTCTAACCCAAGCCCACAGGATGTGGCTGTGGGTTATCCACTCGCACTCCCCCGTGTTCTTAAAAATCTCCTGGCATACAGTGAGCGATTGAAAACACTCTAGACCAACAGAACTGAAATTAATTACCAAGGAAAAACCCCAGATAAATTAGGGGCCTAGCTAACAATCAGATTGAGAAACCAGGAGTAGAAATTAGGCCTTGCTGCTCTGGGGCAGCAGGCTTTCCTGGCTGTTCGTGTGCTTGTTTACTCAGGCCACCTTCTGTTACTTTCACAGCTCAGGTGACCATTTAATATGACTTTTCTTGTATCTTTAT